CAGAAATTAGTTGTGTCGGTATTAAAAGTGTATAAGCCGTTTGCCCGATTCATTTTTTATGGCTTATCAACTCTGCTGATTACACCGGTTAACACGATTCTTTGTGCAAAGAAACTTTTTTTTTGGCTAATTTGGTGGTACTGACTCCGAAAATGAACTTAGTTTTTCATGGTTAGCTACCATTTTTTCTGTACTCAAAGCGCACATTTTTGTAAAAAAGAAAAAAAAAATCAATTTACGATCTTGGCTGATCGCAAAATTTAGTTAATAAAGGTCGTATAAACCCATCAATTTTCAGGTAGGCCGAGCAATTTAAGTCAGCCACATGAAATAAACTATTTTCATAAGAAAAAAAGTGTTTTTGAGTAAAAAAATTAAAATAGAAATACGCCAAAATTCAAATTAACTGATAAACTTTATCAGTAATACAGTTTAGTAACCCTGATAATTAAGCTGACATAAAAAAAAGGAAACCCTAAAATCTTCTGTTTGATGTTCTTAAATTTATTCCATCACTTTTATTCCTTCATTACGGAAGAAAACCAAGCACATTGAGAGTATTTTGATTTCACAGTTGGAAAGAAAGTCCAGCTAAAGGCATTTCAATTGAATGCACCTATGCCATTGTAAACGATACTGCTGGAATATCAAAAGGGACTTAAATAACATTGAACATGACAATCAAGAAAGTGAAAATTCTTACTGTAGTTCTTAAGTTCACGAAGGTTTTATTTCTGCTGTTAGTGTTTAAAAAGATTTGATGAAAATACTTGTTGGTCTTGGTATATTCAATCGTGTTATCTTTAACGACTTAAGGTCCGGTTGTTATTGCAAAAATAATATTACTCAATAAGCAAACCAATATTTGTTGGTTTAGATACGAATTGAGAGGTTTCTACGATTTTATTTTGAGAAATATTGCCTTCGGTCAATATCATATATACAGAAAACAAATGAAAAAACAAATCCTTTTTTACCAAAAATGAGGCATTTCTGTACAGCAAATACGGTAGCTAACCAAGAAAAACTAAGGTTGTTTTTAGATTCAGCGCCCTCTAATTAGTTAAGAATGATATTTGGTGTCTCGAAACCATTTCATAACTTTTTTTTTTATTATTATTTTGTTAAATAGTATTACTTAAAGCCAGAATATATCTTTAGAATGTAACCTTTTTTTTTGAAGACAATGATTTAATGATACAAGCTTTTAAGTTGGGGAGGAGAGGTACATTCATATCTTTCATAAAGGTATTAGGACGTATTTGAATATAACTAACCCATCGGGAACTAGAACTCGGTTCTCCGATTAACATATCTGAGCTATTATCCATTACACCTCCTAGACATCCAAGCCTATAGCACGTGATATACCCTCAGCTGTTTCAGATATTTGCCATACAACAGACAATGTGAACAATTGTACCTTCATTCAATTTTTTTTTTTTCGTGTTTCTATGTTATTTTATTGGATGAAAACAGGATCCTGTACATGAGCATAGGTGTGGTTAATTTTGTATTCAACATAAAATGTTTACGCTTAGATTTTAATACGCTCTTTTTTCCTTGGAAGAAGGCAAAAAAAATTAATTTGTGAGACGATTCAATTCTTTCATGTGTAAAGGAATAGAAAGCCTATCTACTCGGCCATGACGACGTGATTTCACAAGTGCGAATATATTAACCCATTAAATTTCTTTGAATACATATTTTCGATTTTCAGCACAAGTCATAGACGCATCTATAGATTTACACACTAGTACGTTCACATGAAATTAGCATTTACTATTTTGGCCCTACAATGGCCTAGCGGATTAAAACGTTGGCTCGTCAATTTGGTGACATGGAAAGAGCTACGCCAGTTACACTAAAACTCATTTTCCTGAAAAATAGTTTTAATAGAAGGATTTTATGAATTTCAAACAAAAGTAGCACATACTTTTCAGTTAATGAATGCTGAATGTTTCCTTATAAGGAAACGGCTAATATTGTCATTATCATTACGTATCATCTTGGATTAACTGACTTTTTCATTGTGATTCTACTTTCATCCATTACTTGACAACTCACCAATTTGATCTAGATGGCGATAATCTAATTAGTTTAAAACGATCTAATAAAAAATAAATGGTTTGTCAAGTAAGGGATGAAGGCAAGTTTACAATCAAAAGTCAATCGAGTTATTTACATCATTTAGATTCTGAATATTTTCCTCATTTTGCTGCTTTTATCACAACGTTTGGGCCGTTGTACCCTAATGTTTATATCGATCTGTGTAATCCACTGAACTCTTTACTTAACCTATGGAGTTAGACAGTTCTCGTTTCAATGCCCATGTCTAGGGATATCTAGTTTTTATTTTATTTAGCACTTTTCATTTATTGCTCGTCAGTTTCCGTTCAGTGCAAGAATCACGCTGCTCGACCCAGGGATTGAACTCACACACACTATGTCACCAAATCCCTAAACCAAAGACTTTTCCTACTTTTAAATCCACCCCCGTAGGATAATTTGCTGGAGTAAACTTAATCTAATTAATTTAAGTTTACTCCAGAAAATCCCCACTACGGATTGGGTAAAAAACAATGTGAAAAGGTATTGGTTTCGGAAATTGGTGATTTCCATCCCTGGGTCGGCAGCATGATTCTTGCACTCCGCGGAAAGTGACGAGCACTAACTGAACAGTGCGAAATAATATAAGAACTAGTCGATATCCTTAGACATGGGCAGCAGAATGAGAACAGTTTAAGAACAAATTAAATAAAGAGTTCAATTCTAAATTCTCTGTCAGTTATACAGATCAATATACAATTGTGGAAGGCCGGAGAATACAACGGCAGAAATGTTGTGATAGCAACAACAAAGATGAGGAAAATAGTCCGAATAGACTAAATAGGTATTTTACTGTCAAAGACGCTATTTTTTGTAAAATAATGATAAATTGAATACAAATTTATACACAAAATTCAATGTTCATATTTACATACGTTCTATCTCTGATATTGAGCACTTTATCCCATAAATATAACACACCTTAAAACTATATTTCTCTCTCTCTATATATATATATATATATATATATATATATATATATATATATATATATATGGTTTTGTAAAATTAGTCCACCTAGTTCATAGAATCAGTATTTTCTTACCGGCACCATTTGCAACAATAATAGCTTCCAGTCGCTTTCGATATCGCTTGAGCAGTTCTACGCAATGCTCACTGGATAATTTAGTCGAGTCTTCTTCACAATACTGCGTCGGGTTTGTGGGTGACTTTCGACAGACAACACTGACTTGGCCAATCTTACACTTAGTTCATTTATAAGTATTTACTACTTGCCAGAGATATATTCTTGGGTTCTTCGTTCTGCTAAAATCTGACAATTTCTTAAGCTACAGGCTGTTTGTAGATTTTACTTGAGAATCTCAATATATTTTGGTCTTATCCATCGTACATACGGGAAAAACGTCCAAGATCAGAGAGAAAAAAATGGCTTTTTTTAATTAGGTTACCGTTTTTGTCTTGTACAGTTGGTATAGTATGGGGCGGATCGTTCGCTGTGTTGGGTTTACGCTCCAAGGGTACTTAAGATAACAGCCAAAACGTTCTGTCCCTAAATAACTATCACATATAGTTGGAAAGTCTTTTAGATATTTAGTAGAATGCTCTTAGAAAATCTGAGGTTCCCTTTTTTTTTCAAACGAGTTTGTTTCATGTCAAGCGGCCGTAAAAGAACTTCTTTGTGCAAATTGCAGGATACTTGTTCACTGTAAATCCAACATCATAGACAGACATCTTGAAGTCTTTGAAACTGACAAAAATGTTGACTTTCATTTGTCTGACCCGTGTGAAGTTGGCGCTTTCTGCCATCAGAGAGGGATGCTATACTCTTGAGATTTGTAGTGTCAAGCTGAACCTTCAATTTTCTGAACGAAATCTCGACATTACCTTTTAATAAAATTCAAGCATTAGCCATAGATTTACTGCTTTATTCATGTTTACACTTTCCTAGAATTTCCTCTGGTCTACTGATAACGTTTTTTTTTATTTCATGACTGCTACACGGCTTTTTTAACTGATGAGCATAGTGTTATTGGAGATGACAGAATTTCACCCACTATTTATTGGAAGAATAGGGTGTAAATATCACCCAAACAAACCTGGATAGTCACAAGTCTGGAATTATTTGGAGTATTATTTTACCGCGTAAAAATGTTGAGCCAAAATTAATGTTTTGTTACAGGAGGTATAAATATTTATGAAACCAATGTCTACCAATTTTGTCAATTCTATTTAGGCTAGTGTTTTCGGCATTCAGTATTATCTTGTTAAAATATATTTTAAAAACTTCGGTCAATCGCTCGGGTTTTGTTGTAGTCTTAAACTTGCGTTGTTCTCAGTGTGTAAATACAGTTCAAAGACGCTCTTGGTAGTCCGATTTTCTTCGTAAATATTAAGAAAATAGAGAGAATATTTCGAGGGATAAATCTCAGTTGAATATTGGAATAATTACACGCTAATCTCTGAATTTCTTCATCTTCCCTAGAATCTATGGCAAAAAAACAAATAATTACAATTTCACGGTAAATATTACATCCGTTTTGCAAAAAAAATGATTTCTGGTTGACCCAAGTTCAACTGGGCAGTTAAGTCGTTTAATGAATACGCGAATTGCTTATAAATATTTCTTGCGATATTTGACACGATTTTATCATTTCTTCCGTGTCTGATGTTGAGGCTCATTTCTGGTGAATTCTTATTTTCTTATAGACACAAATCATTTCCAATTTCCATTCACAGCAGATTCATTTTCTAAACTTATGTGACAGGGAAAGAAAATAAAAAACTGATTTTAAATTTTCTTGCCGGTTGCTAACATTTGGTTATATTTTTTTCCTGTGGTCATAAATGGGATATTTAACATTCCTTCAGTTTTCAGATATATTAAAAATAACGAAATACCTATTCTTGCGAAAGTTGTTACATCATCCACGTCAGTGGCCTGGTCTCAGGATTAGAAATAGAAAGATAGATAATACTGTTATGTCTTCCTTATGGTATTTCAGGATTATACGAGCTGGCGCTGAAAGATTCAGTTCCCAATATGAAACAAAATGAACAAACATTTTGAAAGGGCTTCTTATTTGGACCAAGAACTTTTCATTATCTTCTGACATTCAGTTACATATTCTATATGTTGTGAAACTGACTTTTCACATCTTCCTATCTTTTGTAGCTCTAAGAGATTTCACTTATTTCCACGAGTTCCTGTGCTGCCATCTTTTTACACAGAATCATCAGATAGGCCATCCTTGGTATGACGTTAAACTACATACGCCAGCAAGGCATCTAATCAAAAGTTTTGAGGAGCGTGGTATCACCTTTTAATTGCTGTTGTTCCATGGAGTAGGAGCACTTGTTAAGGTCGCAGCTATGGGAAAATAGTAAATTCTCAAACAAAAATCGACAGTACATTTTTATAATAAAATGAACAACGATACATTCGTATAGTAAGATGACACTCAGTGCAACACTAAAAACTATAAAATTACCAATAATACATTTTATGAGAGACACACTATAGATCTAAAAATATACCTTTACTCTGACAGTATAAAATTATGTATCAAATCTCTGTAACTGAAAGCCTAAAATTACGTATAAAATATTTATATTTCAGGTATTAAATAACCCATAAAGGTGAAAACTCCACCAACCAAAATCATTAGATCGATTACTCACAGTTTATCTCCGCCGCTTTAATATTTTACTCTCTCTCTCTCATATATATATATATATATATATGAGAGAGACATGAGTCAGGAATAAGATTTTGCCAAGCAAACTGGATTAGCCAGTAAAGAAAGATTAACAGAAGGCGATTGTTTTTGATATCTTTGACCAAATTACCAACTTTAATGTGAACAACAGAAAGGCAAATGTGCAATCTGCATGAGGAAGTACACGAAAACTGTTTTCTCAACAATAATTTAGCTTTAAGTGTAGAGCTACATTGGATGAAATTAATAGTTGGGAAAGATTTTAATTCATTCCTGGAAATAGTCCAAGCTTATTCAGAAGAAAACAGTGAGGACTGAGTATTGTCTGCTGTAGTGTATAAAGACTCGGAATGAAAAATCGCGAAGCTTATTACGCGCAAATAGTCTTGAGAAGATGTATGAAACAATCTCTTCTACCCTTCCCACCTATGGGTTGAATAACAGGATAAACTGTCTTGTATAGCCATGAGGGAGGGTAACCAGTTTACCACAAAAAGAAACGGCAACCTACTGTCAGAAAATCTTCTACCTAGTTAGTCAAGAATCGAATGAGATATGATTGCCTAAGCGTGTATCACGTATGCCACTTAACTGACTGACTGCTTATAAGATTTAAGACAAAGAAAGCTGATAATTAGCAACCTTGCCAATAATGCTTTCGACGGCACAAAATTAATGGAATTGCTTTCTTCATCATCAGATATTCATCTAAGAGAAGAACTGCAGCCCATATTTAAAGATATATAGGTGAATATAAACAATATTCAAGCGAAGAATGTCTATGGGAAGCAATAAAAATTAGTTGGGAGTAACGCTAAATTGGGAAAATTGAGAAAGTTGGTAAAACCAATAAAGACAGATGAATGTTATTGTAACATGTTTGGAGGAGAATGAAAGAAAGTAATTTAAGGATAAAGAAAAAAAAACAATGTCCAGCTAATAAACAGCGATACGCGATGTTGGAAATAAATAGTATTTATGAAATACGATATATTTGACAGGGTCAGTTGACAGTCACAAGTCTCGAAAGAAAAAATGGATGAGCAAGATTTGGCGAAAACTTTTCATTGGTCCGTGAATTGAATAATCAGCAAAGAGCAAGAAGGTGAGTTTTTTTTTTTTTTTTTTTTACAAAAAAAATGAAAAAATTTCCGATAAAATTTTTTAGTGAGGATTTTGTCGGTGTAGTGAGCGGATGGCTTAAGAACGTGCTGGAATAGGAAAAAAAAAAGTTTTCGTCTAGTGAAAATATGACTTCATTTTCTGTTATAACGTACTCCAAACGGATGGTATTTACCAAACCTTCCTACAAGGCAGGATTTGGGACAAGAACAGTTTTTACGTGGGCCGATTCCGAGCCCGTAGGATCGGTAAAAATTCCCCGTAGACCTTGTATACACGAGGTCTGGTTTGTGTACCTCCCTAGTAACATAGCCTCGTTTGGGTTCCGCTCTGCCGGAAGGCAGAGAGTTCGGCGAGCCTCGCAGCGAACTGACTCAAAACGGCTCCCCACAAGTTTTTACGTGGGGCATAACCGCGTCTGGTTTCCTCTCTGCCCGAAGGCGGAGAGTTCGACAAACCTGCCAATGTACTGCTTGACTCGAAACGTCTTTTTCTTTTACTATATTTATTGTACGTGAAATGTAAAAATGTGGCACAAGGCCAAAAAGAGGAAATGTGATAAAGGACGGTAATGAACTGTTTTAAGATTAAACTTAGCTAGTCACAATCATTGACCCAGGCATACAAACAATATTCCTTTCACCAAGACAACGCATTCTTCGTTTCCATTCTTATCTCAACCACCATAATGACTCAGAAACTCTATAGAGTCCTAAACACGTCTTTAACTCATACCGCTGTGAAATTTTTATTTTATAGTTATAGACTAGTTCATATAGTCACCGGGGATGTACTATTTGCTCCACGACACATTCATTAACAAATCCAAGCGTTGCAACATCCGGCTATTCGTCAGAAGAATTCCGAAGAGGCTCAATTCGAAGCGACGTCTGCAGTACGCCTAATACCAGTTCGAAGCACAGAGGATGTAATTACAATACTGCAGTAAATCCAGAAGCCCACATTCAAATTTACAATAAAATATATTCAAGTATATGCGATATTGTGTTAATATAGGTTTCGGTGGCTTATATCTTTTGAAGTAGATTTAAATAAAAAAAACAAACAAAATGCAGCATGTAATTTGTTGCCTAAGAAAATGTAACACTACGAAAACAAGTTATTAATATTTCTGATACGTATATTATTAAAAACGTGAAATTTACACGACATATTGCTCATTTAATTATCTTCATAGCACTTTACAATTAATTAGTTTTTACTGGTATCGGTATTGTGAAAACATTGACTTGCATAATAGTATATATATATATATATATATATATATATATATATATATATGTGTGTGTGCATACACTGTGAATATTCAGATTGTTTGGTTTTATCTTTCGCCACTATATTTACATATACCGGTCAAAGGGCAGACGAGATTCTTATAGGGACAGCGGACAATATATATATATATATAGTTTTTGAAAAATTAGGTAATCTGTATGGGTAAAACCAAGGAGGATAAAATAAAATATATATTTATATATATATATATATATATATATATATATATATACATGAGAGAGAGGCTAGGACATTCTTAGGCTTTGAATGGATGGTGTCTCGAAAAAAAAAAAAAACATTCCGTGGACTTGGACTATTGTGGATGTCTCTGTCGGGCGACAGAAAGAGCCTCCACACTTGTAAAACTATGGCTTAAAACATTATACCAAATCTTTTGTCAGGCAGGACCCAGCTTAATGTGTGCGAGATTAATCCCTGTCCTGCTGCAACATAAAAAATGCCACAAAAAACACCAAAGCAAAATACACCTATTTATGTATACATGCATATATCACGTTTAGTTTTGAGTCACCAAACAAAAAAAATTGCATATCCGGTTCTTATTTAAATTTTCTCTATTGTGGTGGTGGGTTATTTTTCTTTTCACTCTACTCCTGCACAAAATACCGGAATTATATATATCTCTATCGTCAGAACTGACGATCGCTAAAGCTTGAAACCCAAGGTCACAAACTCACATCTATCCAACCAAATATGTTAGCTCTATCTCTGATATTGAGCGCTTTCTAATAAGTACCATGCATATAATATATATATATATATATATATATATATATATATATATATATATATATATATATATATATGCATATATATATATATATATATATATTTCACTATTAGATACCGCATATACCCATGTGTAAGCCAACTTGATTCCTAGTGCGACCCCTATTTTTGAGAAATAAAACACGCAGCATATTCCAGTATGTACGATATACAATTTATTCGAAAATTATGACATATGTTATAAAATCACTACAAAAATAGTCATTTTGTTTCAACACTTCTGGTGTCTTTTCAAGTGACGATGAAGAATGTAGAATAAAGAGTTTTAAAATGATAGGGGAAACGCTATTACATAAACTAAAATGTCTAATCAAAATACAAGTATATGAAAATTCAAACAACTTGACAACGAACCTTGGTTATCATAATTAATGCCTTAATATGAGGATCAGACTGAAATAGAAATCATTTGAACTGATTAATATTAAATTTTACATTAAAATTGAAAATGATTTCTATTCACTGGTTTCAGTAAAATAAAATGGTGAATTTTAGTTGATGCGTCAAAGTCCAGCTGCATGGAAATATAACAAACACATTTATGCATTTAACAGTAAAAATCAAAATATTAACCTAAGAACTCGTGTCATAAGCGTAAAAAGCTTCGTCATCACCAGACTCTCATATGGATGTCATTCATGGAGTCCAGGACGTTCAGAAATGCCTAAACTATCAGCTATATACAATCGTTTTCTCAGATAATTACACCGTAATAAACTACATCCGCGTCCGCTGGTAAGACGATAAACTACGCCCAACAGCAAGGCCTCTGGTCAGAAGGTTTTGAGGAGTGTCGAACCACCTCTGAATTGCTGTTGTTCCCAGGTTCACCCTGACTAAGGTGGTAGCACCAGTTAGGGTCCCAGATATGGGCAAATAGTTAACCCCCCAAACTGGGGTCAAAACACTATGACAGTGTAAATATAGGTTTACCAGCAATACATTTTTGAAGAAAAAAATATTACCAGCAATAAAAATCTTGTCGGCATTAAATAACCCATTAAGGTTGATATGACGTAAAACAAAACAAATCAAATGATTACAAATGGTTTCAAGTAAATTAATCCTTTAGACAATTCTTTATCACAATTTATAGTCAAAATTATTACAACATTAAAAAAAATGAACAACTAAAATGTGTAACACAGCATATATCTAAAAGGGAATATAATCAAGATGTTGATTTTCTACACCACCTTAAACAAAAAGTTAGGAAGGAAACCCCAATCAGAAGTTAAAAAAGCAATGGCAGTAAGATTTTCCTGAATGTTTGAAGATAAAAATATTATGAACTTCAAATATAAAAATATTATGAACTTTGGCCAAAGAATTCAGACTTTTTCTTGAAAAGAAGCAGATTGGCATCAACATATGAGTAAACAACATCTTTAGTGTTGTCAATAAAATAAACATTTCCCTTTAGCTGCTTTATGAAAATAATCTAACTATGACCACTCTAGCATGGGAAGACCTTAAAATGGTGCCCATTTGGCTCGGGTAGTACTTTCCACATAGTTTGCTCAAATAATGTTGCCTTGTGCCAGACTAATCTTTCATCGATTCATGGAATACTGTTGCCATATATATTCGGGTGCCCTGCTGTTCATCTTGAGTTTTCTCGACAAAATCCAAAGACGGATGTGCAATGTGATTGGTCCTGACTTGGGGGACTCGGGCCAAGACACTTTCTCACTGACGTAATGTGGCTTCCCTTTGTCTTTTCTATAAATATTTTCATGGCATCTGCTCTGACGAGCTATTTTCATTGGTGCAGCGGCTTTATGATTTTAAGCGTGCTACTAGTTTGGCATCTCGGTATCGCCCTTTTACTGTGGAAACAGTTAAAGTAACTGCCTCTTCTACTCCAACAGCTTTTTCTATCGCACTTCCCGACAGTGGAACTCCCTTCCATAATAGCTATAATCTTCAAAATTGTAAATGTAATGTCAATCAACATTTGTTGTCTTGATCCACGTTCTTTTTATCATTTCCTCACCCCACCTATACCCAGTTTATTTACTTACACTCTCTGTAGCCCCTTGCGTACAAGTGGCACTCTCGCCTTACCTAGGGTGAATTGCTTTAATAAATAAATAAATAAATAAAAAGTAGACATATTTATTGCACGGCAAAAAATGATAAAGTATAAAAAATAATAAAAAAAGGAACTTACTAATGCATTTTGGCCATTGCTGACCCAAGTTCCTTCCAGTGTACATATCCCCTTGTTTGACAACATATTAACGAAGATTTGGCCTCCACCGCGACCTCCACCAATGCCTCCTCCGCCACTTCCCCACGTACCACATTCATAAATTTTAGCATGGGGTAGATTTGTCGCGAGAGTCGATTTTCCACCTTTCCCTCCTCGGCCGCCATAGCTAGCACCACTGGAGCCAATGGTTGAAGATATTCCAGCACCTGTAAAGGAAAAAATGCTAAATAACTGACAGTATATCGGTCGCATTTTCAGGTTATCTAAAATCTACTGATGAAATACTAAGTTCTTTTCCATTTAATAAAATGGTTTTATTTTCGAATTTTACTATTTTTATGGCATTGATATTTCCTTTTACCGTTGGGAGGTAATATCAGATGGAGAAAACATGCGTACATTTTATTGCATGGTTAATTTTATTGTATTCCGACGGTAACTATTCATCATGGACACCTCCTTCAAGAGAAAGTTCTCTTGGTATTTCTTAGAGTTAATTAAAATTCCGTTCGAATGTAGCAGACATGTAAAGAATATAATCCACATGTTTACTCTGGGAAGATCATCACTGGGTGCCCGTGTACTTTCGGGCTTGTGCCACATCTAAGAAAACAACCACCATCGTTACTCTGACAAAATAAAAAAAAATAATAAATCGAAGTTTCATATTACAACATATTCGAGCCTATATAAAAACAGGGTTTGAAGGGAGATTTTCCAAGGAGTCTCACTGAACAAGTAGAGCAACATTGAATTTTTTAAATTTTATTTATTTCACCCAATACAAGGCCCAAGAACCGCTCAATAGAGAGAATTATTCAATGAGATTATTGTTAGATAGTGAGAGCAAGGAGTGCATATTATGAGGATATGCAGAATATATATATATATATATATATATATATCTGTTGGCACTGCATTTGTAGAAAATAAAACTGTAGTGATCAGAAAGATATCATCTTGGGAGTATGTTCCACAAAGTAACAGTTCTGCAGAAGAATCTGTCTCATTAAAATTTACACCTTACCAAAGGAACACGAATAGAATAATTTTCCGTTGCGAAAATGGCATGGAAGCTTATCTCTGAAGCTCTGAGCTGGTGAGACAAAGGGATATAACTCGTCCAAATATCAGGCATAGTAATATCGATAGACTAGGGAGGAGCTAGCGACGTTTCTTCTGTGGGATAAGTACACGGGCACCCAGTGAGGATCTTCCCAGATAAGGGTTATAGAGTGGGAAATAATCGATCAGAAGGCCGATAAAACGTTTTAGTGGTTTTCCTCTTTGCTGAAAGAATATTTAAAGAGCCATCGTTTCGAATTCCGGCCTTTTTTACGGGTTAAACAATCTTTGTGTCAGAGCAAGATTATATATAGGATCTCGCACACTGCTGGCATTAATAAACAGCAATGCTCTCTTCAAATGGAAAGGAAAAAAATAATGACATCTCGCTATCAATCAACTGGGAAATTATATCTAGAGTTAAATCTTATAATGGAAAAGGAAATAAATGTAACGTATGTCTTGTTGAAAAATTGGTTGTTGTAAAAAACTTAAATAAACCAAGTTTATTAAACACTATAACTGAATTCATGGTTAGATGTAGGCATAAAAATAAATATCTGCTTAAATACGTGGAACCAGATTTTAAGTTTTGTTATTTTTAACGTAAATTACTATTTATTTTTAATACAAATCTATTATTAACATAAGAACAAGTAATCGCCCTTTAATTAAAGAACTAAAATAAATGATGTAATGTTTTATTTTCCTCTTTTTTACATACATATATAAATCCAGCTTATTTTAATTGCCAAATAAGATTTTTGAAATTAAAAACACTAATTCCAGCATAATATATAACTACGCCAAAATTGTGATAATAGATATATTATAATTCAAATTGCGTAACGGTCAGTCCATACTCAGCACCTGAAGATTGCGTCATTCCGAGTCGTGCTAGCGGTGAGGGATAATATATATATATATATATATATATAAATTAATTGATTTAAAAATGTTTTTCCGCTACACAGTTCTAACCATGTTTCAAAAATTTTTGAAACATGGTTAGAACTGTGTAGCGGAAAAACATTTTAAATCAATTAATTTATAATATTAATGCTCTGTAAATTTACATCGAGCACTATTTTGAAAAAATAAAAATACCTATAAGAACACCGGATTATATATCTTACTGTTCTTTCTTTTTTTTTTTTTTATTTATATATATATATATATATATATCTCATAAGTAGAAAATTTGGAGCAATCCTCTGGATTTCAAAAAATCGCCGAAAAATTCAAGTTTACGTGCTTTTTCAAAATTAAGTTAATCCCCTATTTCCAGAAGGGTTTTATATTATAATTAATTAGTAATCCCAATAAAGAAAGGCACCCATTACCACACAAGGTTTCCTAAAATGATTTTGCTCTTTTTGTCTGTTTTGATTTTTTAAATTGCAATTATACTAATTTATAAAGTTGTAAAACATTTAAAATTCTGTATTAAGTTCATCCTTTTCATGATATTGTTATTAAGTGAAAACTATATGTTCTAATCATAAATGCAAAAGATTAATACAAACCATCTCGCACCTAGATTTTAAAAAGAATTTTGAATGTTTTAGTGTACAAACGTGCCCATTTTTGTAAGTACGGTTGAACATACACGCCATTTTCAGAAAATAAGTACAATGAGTATATTAAATTTAAAGTCAAGATTCCCAAAAAAATAGATTAAGGATAATATTTTCCAAAATTTTAAACATTGCTGAGTACTTAAAAAAAATTATATAAAAGAGGCGACCACGTCATTTTCTTAAATTATGTTTTACCGATAAAGTCTCCGTAGAACAACATTAAACATGTTATCAGGCTGTCAACACAGCTAAGGTTGGGATAAATGTGGTTCTGCGATAATTTAAATTTAAAGTAAATAATATTTGTTTCGGAACAGATTAATATACTTTAAATCAGCTAATATTCTTTTAATAAATCATCAGTAAAGCATATTTTATTTTTGTAAGATTTTTTAATAAGGAATATTAAATTGCGATGAAAGGCAACTAAAAACAGCGTTAATCAGCTATTTTAGCAAAAAAAAAAAAAAAATCCTTACCGTCAATTTAAATTAAGTTTTGAAATAATGCACATTATTTCGCTTATTAAAAATATTAAATTTAATAAATTAGCTTGAAATTAAAACTAAAATAAATAAAAGATTCAAGAAAGATTTGTCATTTTTAAAAATTAATTTTAAACCATAGGTATCTAATATATATATATATATATATATATATATAGAGAGAGAGAGAGAGATAGAGAGATAGAGATATGATAGAGAGAGATCGCGAGAAAGAGAAAGAGAGAGCACTATATATATATATATATATGTATGTATGTATGTCCGCCTTCTGTATTCTTTCATGCAAGCGGTCATTCATAAATATGATCAATGCAATTTCTGTATAATTTACCTTTTCCTTTTCCTGACAGATGACCGCCGCCCGTAACATCAATTCTGCCACTGCTAGTAACATTGAGATAAGCGGATGTCATGTTGATCGAACCGGCGTTCAGCGTTCCTTTAATTCTGATCAAATGCGACATCTCCACTGTAGTGACCTGGCAACCTTCACTATTCTGAGCTGGAGACCTTTGAAAGTTTACATTCAGAACTCCCCGCGGACCGATGTATATATTAATACCTTTGATATTCATATTTCTCAACGACACCAAAGTTCCGTTGATATCTATGAAGTCACTGAATAAATTGGTACACGGATAAAGAGTTAGATTGCCCTGATCACCGATGGCAAACCATTTTATGTTTTGCTTTAAAATCAAGGTTTTGGCATCAAAAGTCCCATTTACCTCGATGTGAAGCACATCAATAACGGAGCTATTTCGGCAATCGGCGTAGTGAGTGTTTCTCTTCGAATCAAAAGACAAAATGCCAGCCAAATCAACCGCTCCTGTCTGTCCAACACGGAACTGCTTGCCGCTGATAGAAATTTGCTGCAAAGGTTTAAATCGTCCGTCTATAATCGCCACATCACTTTGAAAGTCTGAACCTGGTTGAAATATCAGATCACCCATTTTACCGACTCGGAAATATTTTATATTTTTTAGGGAGAGATCGTTTCTTGGCGTAAACTTCGCATTAATCGTTACGTTATCGCAAGATATTTCAAACGGTTCGGATCCTTTCATTTCCAAAACGCCTCCGTCAATCACGAACAGTTTACAAGGGTCAGTGAATGATATGACACGACCAAGTTTTAACTTCCCCTCAATGATAATGATGTTCCCTAATTTGGCTGACGCTGTATGCGTATCAAAATACATTTCCGCTTTGGGACCAATATCAAGAACTTTCCAAGTGTCGGTAATCAGGATATCAGCCGTGAAGTTACCGGATATTTTTATTACGGACGAATTTAATATCAATGATCCTATGGTCTGTAATTTACCAGTCTCCAGGATAGAAATATTTGGGACTGTAAGCGTGCGCGTATTATCATAAATGAGGAAACCTGAAATGTTGAGCGCTTTGTTTTTGTTCAAATTAAAATGTCCTTTGATCCAGGTGTTTCGAATTATCTGTGCCGCAGTCGAATTTGCGAATATTAGCGTTGCATTTGCGGCCACAAAGCAGTCGGTATTTAGTTTTTTTTGTACAGTTAACACACTATGATCAGTTACATAGATTCGGCCAGAGCCGTCGTCTTTCACATCAGAGACGGTCAAATGATCCCTAACTAAGACATGGGCTCCATTCTTTAATTGTAAATCATCAATATATACTGGAGTAGTTATCCATGTGGTAGAACCTGTTAAAAAAGAATAAAGTCAATAAAAGTTTCTGTATAAAGTATACACGATATCATGTTTTATAATACGCAAAAGAAAAGTCAATATATTGATACAATATATTGTAATGGTAAAATATCACGCATAAGTGTGTATATACATATATATCATAAAATATAGTTGTAAGGGATAATAGAAATTACTACCTATAATGCACCATTGACCATCGCCTCTGAGTGTTAACTTCAGTGTTCACTTTTACATCTATATTTACATAGACTGTATCTCTGACATTGAGAACTTTATCCAATAAATATAGCACACCTAAAAACTATATATATATATATATATATATATATATAAAGAGAATTACAGACCTACGTTTACAACGATCTGATATTATTAAAAAACTTAAATTTTAACGATTTTATAACTATTTCAAGTTAGTAATAAATTCAAGCAAAATTATAAGCGCAAGTTGTTGATAATATTATTCTGAAAATATTTATAAAATATATTTATATATATATATATATATATATATATATATATATATATATATATATACACACACATAAGTATCTGATTGGTGTATACAGAATAAATTCTAAATACCAACAAATACTACTCTTAAAAGAGTGCTCGATACAGAGTAAAGCAAATAATTATTTATTCGAAAATTATAACATAAATATGTTATAAAATCACTACAAAAATAGCCATTTTGTTTCAACACTTCTGATGTCTTCAACATCATCGCTTGATAAGACACCAGAAGTGTTGAAACAAAATGGCTATTTTTGTAATGATTTTATAAATTTATGTTATTTTCGAATAAATAATTTATATATAATATATATATATATATATATATATATATATATATATATATATATATGTGTGTGTGTGTATATATGTGTGCGAAGAGCATAATAGAATCCGGTCATTCACCATAGATAATTTCCCCACCGTATATCGACAGCCTATTTTAAATCGTAATTAAAAGTTTAATGCTTTTTTTTTCTGATGCCCAACACATTTCTGTTCATATCTCTCACCCAGAAATTCATTGGAGTAAAATGTCAAGTTAAGGAAATAATTATCTGATAATTCAGGCTGGCTTTTGCTTTGACGAAATCTAAATTGATTATTAATTTTTTTAAAAATATTTTCAGAATAATATTATCAACACCTTGCGCCTATAATTTTCCTTGAATTTATTATTCATTTGAAATATTTATAAAATCGTTAAAATTTTGAATACGAAAGACTTGACTGTTTGGGTCACGTTTGAATATTTTTAGCAACTCGTTAATGTAGTGTCATTGTAAAATTAAGTCTGCAATTGTGTGTCTACGTGTTTATTTATGAGAGTTAAAAAACTTGCACAACGGTTTACCGATTAATAATTTTTTTGTTTTTCTTTTCTATTGTTCACTAAACAATTTCTGTTTGTTTCACAAAACGCAAGAGCCACTCAAGGTAGAATTTTACTGAATGAGGTTATTGTGTGGATGTAAGAGAATGGGATAATAAGTGAAGATTACAAGGATATGTAGGGAAGATAAAAGTTGACCTGTAGTGTTGAAAAGTGTAGCGGTAGCAATTGTATACTGCCAGGAGTCTCCGTTTGGTTTGTTTGACGGAATATCGACTTCAATGGGTTATATAATGCTGACAATTTTTATTGCTAGTAATAATTATTTTTCAAAAATGAATTGATGGTAATAACTTTTTTTTCAAAAAATGTATTGCCGGTAATTTTTTATTATTATTTATAATGCATTTCTGATATTAAACCCCATATTTACACTTTCATAGTGTTTTGATCCCAGTTTGGGGGGGGGTTAAAGATTTGCCCATATCTGGGACCCTAACAGGTGCTACCACCCCGGTCCAGGGTAGAGCTGGGACCACCAACAATTAAGAGGTTATTCGACGCTCTTCAAATCCTCCTGATCAGAGGCCTTGCTGTTAGACGTAGTTTATCGTCTTACCCGCGGACGCGGATGGAGTTTATCGTTATTGCCAGTACGGCCGGGATTCTCTTCCACAAAGTAGCTGTTCTTGGCAATAAGCTCTCCGAACAGTTTCTCCTCCTAATGGAATAGGGAGGGAATAATTTGCCCAGTGTATGTGACATTTCGAATCAGCTCGGAACATTTTCCATGGAAATAACAAGAAAATAGAGGGAGGCTTGCAATGAGAACAGAGTTTGTACGGTGGAAAATAATTCGGCATTCGCAGAGCATTTTAGATGGTTTCTCGAACTGACAGGACTGGAAAGTGAGATTGGGAAACTCTAGCCCAGGTATGGCGGCAATACTCAGTTTTTCATCTGATTTTACTCTTGTCAAGATAATGAATGGCATGAGGTGAGCCGTTCTTTCCGGAGCGATACAAGGAACCTGACTATTTTACCAGCGTCTTTTGCGATTGGTTGAATATACGTGTTCCACTTGAAGTGTGGGTTGAGCTGGTGTACCTAGAGTAATTCAAAGCAAGTAACCTCCTTGTGAGTACAACTGTTCATCAAGACAAGCTAAACTTAATGGTTAGCTTATGATGTTGAAACATTAGCTTCATTTTGACTGAATGTTACAAGCCAGATTTTTTTTATCATTGATCTGTTAGAGCTCAGTCATAGTAGAGATCAGCTGCCAAGCTCTGGTTATCTCGATTTTGGGAGATGCCCCCTTAGACTACATCAGCTACATGTTAACGGTTATATTAGCCGTTCCCTTATAAGGAAACATTCAACACTTACCCAGCCGACAGTACTACTGTTGTTTGAATTTTATAAAATCTTTTTCTTAAAACTGTTTTTACGGGAAAATAGGTTTATCAAGTCCAGTAGCTGTTATCGCCCTTTCCAGTATTGATGGCAGTTTCCTTCCTAACCTTTTGTTTGAAGTAGTATGAAATGCCAACAGCTTGATTATGTCATGGTATTTACTAATGATCTGAGCCGTAGGTGCTGTTGTTTTAACTATGGAAAAACTATAGAAATCATCAGACGTTCACGGTTCTCAAGAGGCAAATGAAATATTCAAGGCAAAAGTGTTCAGTTCTTCCCTCTGTCTTTTCTACAAATATTTCCATGGCAGCTGCTCTGACGAGCTACTTTCACTGGTACCTCAACTACGTGAATGTATGCAGATTAGTATCTTGGTTCCACCTTTTCACTGTCGAAACAGTTAAATGTAACCGTCTCTTCTATTCAAACAGCTTCTTGCGTACTTCCCAACAGTGGAACTCGCTTCCTCTTACTTGCTTCCCTGATAACTATAATCTTCAAAAAATTTAAATGTAATATCAATCGACATTTGTTGCCTTGATCCTCGTTCTCCTTTTTATACTTTCCTCAAAGCTATACCCAGTCTTTTCCCTTTCTTACAGTCACTGTAGTCCCTTGCGTACTAGTGGCACGCGATATACCAATTGGTTATGCGGGTATAACTGGTCCCATTTCTATAACCACCGCTTGAACACATCAGTTTATCTGGATATACTATTTACCATATAGCGTTTATGCCCTGGTGTTCTTTACAGTGAAAATTGTTTCGTTGTGAAGCAGCTGTGGAACTTATTTTAAATTAAATATAATTGCTTGCACGTTTTATAAGCCTTTATTGACAATTACCATATGTATCTATTTATAGCTACATAGACATATTGCTTATAGATAGCATTATGACATGTAAATTATAAAATAACTACAAAGACCATCGTACACGGACATTTATACTAAAATCTAACAACTAGAGATTTTTTAAATTTCCAAATTGTTTAATAATTTTTTTCCTCTCTCCCCATTTAATTGCATTCGTTAATTAAAATTGATTTACACGCTTTTAAATCCCCAGAATAAATAACTTGATAAGTCCTGGGACGAAACCGGTAGTTTTATTTTGGCTTTTGCTTTTAAAAATGCCTTCTTATTATCTTTTCTTAGCAATTATTAAATTCTGTACCATAAAAAACTTATTTAAATGTATAATAATTCTTTATATGAGACATCGTCAGTCTTTCTCGAGGGGAGTCATTTTGGAATGAGCACATTTTGTAGTGATTTAATTGGCTCCTTCTAATGAGACGTGGACATAACACAGAAGGCAATACAATATTGGTTGAACAAGCGATAAATGACTAGTTCAATATTTTTATTTTATATGCTGTTTCTGTTAATGATGTGAATGATCATGGCTCTCTACAACTTTGTTCTTTGTATATGTAAGCAATCTTTTTTCCTCTTACTATACTTCCCCGTCCTACCGACTATTTACACAACCTCGATAGGTTGGTAACTGTTTACCCTATGTCCTTGCTTTCAGCGTGTCATGCAAGAGTCAAATTATCCAAGCACGCTTCATAGATTTTCCTGAAATTCCTCGTTGCTCAAAGAAGTTTAAAGGAAAAAAGAAACAAAGAGGCCGTCAGAATCAGAGCTGAAATTACTTGGACGCATAATGAGGAATGAGGGTTTGAAGAATTTGACACTTACAGGGCATACGGAAGGCAATAGCGGAAGTTGGAAACGTTGAGTAAGGTTCTACTTCGGTTCCAAATTTATTCAAACTTGAAGTGGACTTCATATATACGATCCATTGCTAAAGAACTGGGGAAAACGAACAAGTTACTATAGCTCCAGGAAGTAGCTGGCGCCTTCTTCAGGAGTATATGACGCATGTTTATAAGAGTCAGATCAGGCCACAAAAAGAGTATTGCTGTCGAATCAAAGCTGGAGATGGTAAATCCAGTCCCCATTATTGATAGAGTTCTAAATTTCTTTCGCGATGTTGTCGGGGATAATTTATTTTCTACTTTGTAGGCTCAGTGTTCAGAAGAGCCATTCTTGTTTTTCTAAGACAAGCCATGCTATGTCCACGGAGCCGAATGACCCTTATTTCCTACAGTGTTCCAAATGTAAAAAGTATGTTCCACGCTTTTCTCTCAAGAATTGCATCGTTGTCGAACAGAATTCCGCACTAGTGCTTCCTTGAACACTTTAAACTCGACC